AAGAGCGCGAGCACACATCAACCAGAGCGAGAGCAAGAGCAGCCCATCAAACGTGCCTCATTCAGGTTACAGAAGTCGTCGGCAGTGCTGCACAGGACTTGCTCGAGAAGGATTTTACATTTTGTTTTTGACCACAAATTCAACAGTCACCAAAAAAATGAGTTTTTGGTTGTGAGGGAAAGATAACCTTGTTCAGCTTCCCAAAGAACCCAGCGTTAAGGGAATTATTTTTGTCGATCTCACAGCTTGCAGACGATGGTTACGCAAAAGCTGCGCGTGTTTGTGATTCTTTAGCTCCGCCCACGGCACGCCTCCAGGAGCTCGACTGTTTTCGGAGAGAATCATAAAGCTGTATCTTTCTTTTATAAGTCTGATAAAACTAAAGACTCTTCGGTGATATGAAGGATGCAATACTACTATATAGGTACTCAAGATTAACATGAGATTGGCTAAATCTGTGTGTTATGCCCCCTTTTTTAAAAAAAAAGCTTTTAATTTTTGTTGAGGTTTCAGATACTACATGTCTGTTTTCTGCAGTTTCACATGCCCATTTTTTACAGTTTATTTTTAATAAATGCTGTTTTTGGATTGGAGAGGGAGCACCTTTGAATAAATCATGATATGACCATGAAATCTAGAAAATAGAAAGCTGTGGTTGAAATGAGTGTCTGCACATGGCCAGTTTTAGTTATGTTGGTGAGTCAGCTCAAGCCCAAAGCAAGCAAAATCACAGTATGAAATCATCCATGATCTCTTCTCTTCCATGCAAAATGGTGAAGCAGTCAATGTAAACAATGTGAACCAGAAAATGTAAATCCAAACAGAAATGCAGCCAAACAGCAAATGTAAATTGTTTATGTTGTGTTAACCTATAGAAATGGTACTGCTCAACCACTGACTATGAGCATTTGTTCTTCTGTTTCCATAGGGACATCAGCATGAACAACATCACTGAGCTGCCTGTTAATGTCTTCAGAAACCTGCCCTATCTGGAAGAACTGTGAGGATGATTTCTGTTTTCTCTCTCTTTCACTATTTCCCCTCATGCTCTGTTTTCTTTTTCTTATATATTCTTGACACTTTTTTTCAAACACCATCATGGAACATCTCCATGATGATTTGAGATGATCTTTTGCTCTGTCATCATTCTTGAATATTCTTGTCTATTTTTAAGATTTTGAAATGTTTATAGAACTGCAGAAACAACTTTGAAGCTAAATCCACATCCAAATCACTGCTGGTCTCAGTGCCAGCTTGTTGGATTATGCGAGCTCCATTGTCTTCATTTCTTTTGATAGTCACTACATTGTGTCACTGTCCATTTTCATAAATTAAAGTCTGCTAAACAGTGTTGCTCATGTCACCTCAGATTGCCAATTTTTATTGAAAATGAATGACTTCCAGACAATTTGACTCTGCGATCACCGTTAATGCTTTAGTGCTGTTATATGAGGCTTCAGGCTCATTGCCACAGAAAATCCACTCAGGTGAATATTCAGTATAACAGCACTATTGCAAGTATAACACGACTTTCTTTTCTGTATCATTTAAGCCGTATACAATACTTGCACAAAATAATGTTTATTATTTAAAATAAATCAACATTAAAATAAAAGATAAACTTAAAATTAAGATAAAATCATTTACAGACAAACAAGCTACACACTGCCTATTAGAGCTTGAGATTTCCCTTAAAAAAGTCCAAAGACCAATTAGAGAGAATAAGCGGGGAACAGATTTGGCCACCCACAGCACCATCAGTGTGGTGCAGCACATCTGGCACAGTCTCATAGCTTACAAAGTACTGTTAGTCAGAGCATCTCAGGATGCTACGGGTGTCAGATGGCTTTTGAAGCTACATCTAACTTCAAGATTCAAGATTTTTATTTGTCACATACATGGTTATATACAGAATATATGACCAGCAGTGAAATGTAAGTCAGGTCCGCCCATGGACAGTGCAATTATTAAAGAATGCAAACACAAGAAAAATATATATAAATATAGGTATGGAAAAAGATTAAAAAAAAAAATGAATAAAATAAAATGTGCAGGACAGTATACTGTAGACTTAATAAATATTAAGAGTTGGGACGATAGGCAAACTGAAGAGGGTCTAAAGTATCAGGGATGGAGGAGCAAATGTTGCTCTTTATAAGTTTCTCAAAGACCTTCATGACTATTGACGTGAGGGCAACTGGACGATAGTCATTCAAGCAAGAGGGGTTATTGTTCTTAGGCACAGGGATGATGACAGACTTTTTAAAGGGGGTGGGAACCACTTGACCATAGCATTTTAATGACATTAAAGGAACAAACACATGCTGTTTTATACAGATTTGGAGTGGCTGTATCAGTATATCTGAAGTAAGTCTTGAACTCTCGTTGGGTGTGACTGATTTTTTTCTTTGTGTTTGTCTTTTCTTTACTTCTTCTCTCATCCCACGTCTGCCCATCTGCGGGAAGGGCAGATAACATCTGTCTTAAGTGATATCAGGTACCAGCGCTTCCAGACAGCTGAAATGACCAGCTCCCAAAGTTGGCTCCCCTTTGCTGTTCGCTCTTTTCCTTTTTTTTATTCGTTTGATTGGAGTGTGTTTTCTTACCCTCGTGTGTCTTTCATCCACTCCAATCTCTTCAGCTCTCGTTCCCAAACAGTTCTCCAGTGCTTTGTCAAAGGCCAATTTGCTTTTCAACGCATTGTGAGAAGGAATGCATGGCGGGAAGAAAGAGGGCAAAACAATGGTTTCCGTGACAACTGGAGTTTTCAGAAGCGTGTGCTATCTGGGAATGGGGTGAGGGGTGCGCTAGGTCTCTGGGACCTGTACAGCACTGCATTGTGCCAGATGCTCTTTGTCAGGTTGCTCATGGTTCAGTGGTCACAATGGGTGTGTTTAATCACAAGGGTCAGGAGTTCACTTTCTGGGCTTAAATTTATTTTTAAACAAATCCTGGACTGTTGTAACCACTCAGCAGCAACATTTGCATTGCAAGATCTTCAACTAGGCTGTATCCATACATAAAAGAGGAAAAGAATACTGGGTAAAAGAATAACTTTTATTTTGAATAGTAAAAGTTATAAGCCTGCAAAGGAAAAATAATTGTTTAAATCATAAAAATAACTCAACTTGCTAATTAAAAAACTAATATTTTTGTAAAGAAAACATTTAATTTTAATGAAAAATGTGCGTGCATAATTTGGAGGGAAAAAAATATGTAAAATGTTCCTGATAAATGCGTTAAAAAACATCCTGCTTTGCTGTGCTGGTTTGTAAGGCTGTGCAGTTTGGCCAAAATTCTGTGATTTATATCGCTATATAAAAATAATAACAACAACAACAATAATTATAATTACTGCTACCATTACTAAATAAAAAGATAAAAATGACTAAATAAAATAAATATTACTATTGTGACATTTTACTGTGCATCGATCAAAGTTATTATTATTATTATTAGATTTTAAATTAGAACGGTAAAATCGCAGTGCTAATATTTATGGCTATTTTATTTTATTTTATTTTTTTCATTTTCAAATATTAAACCATCATTTATTTTGACAGAAATCCACAGGGAGTCCTTTAAGCTTCTCTTTTGTAATAAGCACTTTGAATACAAGTATGGGAAGATGGTTGGCAGATGTTACATTTCCAAATGCATGATAAAGCAACTCAAACTCAGAGATGAAGAGATGGACTGCATAGACTGCATAGATGCTATGTATAAAAGTGTGGGTGTCCAGAAATAAGCTGGCAGATATTGCGTTTCAAAAGTAGTTCTCATGTAGAGATGAAGGCATAAAAGATCACCGTGAGCAGAACACCTATTTACAGAATGCATTTACCCTGACAGTGCAGCGGCAGTGATGTGCTTCTGTGCGTGTTGGTGTGACCCGTGGCTGCTGTTAGGCAGCACAGTGGAGAGCCAAGAGGAACATTCTCTGCCTCAGAGTCATGCAGTCTTCTATCATAACCACACACATACACACAGCCACACCTCTCTCTTCAAACATATCCACCCCCACTGACAGATATAGAGCTGTCAAATATTAATCCTCTCTAGATGTATGTGTGTCTCTGGCTTTATAATTATTGCACATGTGAGTATGCCAGAGATTGTGTTTGATTGATTTTTTTGTATTGAAAGGAATAGTTCACCCAAAAATGAACATTGTCATCATTTACTCACCCTTCACTTGTTTCAAACCTGTATGTGTTTCTTTCTTCTGTTGAACACAAAAGAAGATATTTTGAAGATTGTTGGTAACTAAATAGTTGACGGTAACCATTGACTTCCACTGTATTTTTTGTTAGCAACATTCTTCAAAATATGATCTTTTGTGTTCAACAGCTGAAATAAATTAATTCAGGTTTGGAACAACTTGAGAGTGAGTAAATGATGACAGCATTTAAATTTTTGGGTGAACTATTTTCTAATGAATTTCTGTAAAACATTTTTGTAATCTATTTAAAAATATGTATCATCATTTTGTATGCCAGTGTCCTAAAGAAGTTGCTTTATAATGATATATAAAGGCATTTCTATAGTGGCCTGCAGTACAATTGCAAAGACTGCAATTATTTTTAATGAATGTAGTTCTGAACTGAAAGTAAATGTTTTAAACTTAAATAAAAGTGCACCATTAAAGCTCTTGACCTGGGAGATGTCACTTGGATCAATCTGAATCCAGCCTCGCTGGATGTGTCCTAAACAATACAGCCGGAAAATCTGACAATGCCATATTGGATAGCTATATTGCATCGCATTGACTTATTAGTTCATTTGTAATTTGTTTTATATAGGTAATTCTGTCTTGGCTGAACCCTTCAGAGGGTCACATGACATTCAGTTGCCGTGCTCACTGAAGTGGTTACTAAAGCAACACGCCGGAGTAGCGCTACACAGCTTTGGCAACACACTGACCACAGAATGAGACTTAGATTAGTTCCAGACAAATAATGATCAGGGGTGACATCTCCCCTCTCAATGCATCAGACTGCTGAGTTGTGACGCTGAGTGTGTACTTAAGAATACACCCATGGTGTCCTGGCCAAATCTGGTGGCTTTGAGACACAGCCAAACCAGAACGATGTAGAGAGAGTCATGGAGCGAGAAAACGTCTCTTTTTCCCGCACCACTAACTCAACCGCATTGGTGTGCCACAACAAATGTGTTGATGTAAACAAGAACGCAGTTAGACGGTAGTTGATTGTGTAATTTGGGGTTTGTGTTGTGGTTGTAGAGAGACAGATATTCTGTCAAAGCCTGTGTGTTGGTTCATAATTTTAACTTTTTAGTATCCCAGCAGTCCTTTTAATCTCTCCCTGTGTTTTCTCTCTCCATCCATCTCATTGTGTGTGGCAATATTTCAACACTTAGAAGCTGAACCCCTATGATCCTGCGGACTGATAAGCTGCCCCTGTCATGTCCTCACCATCATAATTCCAGCTTTATTATCCAGTGTCACATGTTGTTTTTCCCCTCTCTTTCCCTTTTTTGTCTGTTTGTCTTTCTCCAGGTCTGCAGGTGAATATTGGAGACACCGCATAAGTTATCCATAGACTTAGGGTGTGTTCACACTTGTAGTTCGGTTTGTTTGGTTCAGTTGGTCCGGACCAAAAAGGAAAATGATACATTTGGTCCTGGTCTGCTTAGCTTTCACATTGGCATTTTTGACAGCGAACCTAAATACACCAAACCTAAAGGCATAGTGATTAGTGGTCGACCGATATTGGTTTTTTGACAGCCGATGCCGATATCTTGGAAAGCAGGGTGGTCGATGGCCGATATAAAGCCGATATAATTTTATTTCTTTTATTTAATATTTAAGAAATTTGAAATAATTTGGAAATGGATTTAAAAAATTAATGTGTAAAATAAACATGCTTATACTTTAAATGACAGTATTTCTCACAAATAAACAAATATTTAATAAAAATATAATTAAAAAGGAAGTAAACACTGTAACTAACAGGGCACTCAGTATTCTGGGAAGTTTGT